ATCCTCTGTAATTCTCAATAACAGCAGGTGTTCATCACTAATGCACAATCATCATTTAATTAGTCACTTAATTATCTCATTAACTTTAACTCTTTGAGGACTTGGGCTTTGACTCGAGACTCGTTTGTGACTTGAAAGGAATGACTTGGTTCCTCCTCTGCTGAAATCAGCTGCTGAGTTCATGGGTGGAATAAACATATGGCAGGACTTTTACTTTCTGACCCCTGGATTGTCCGCCTCTGGTCACTTGTCATCCTGTCTGTGTACTGGAAGCGTCTGACACCAAGACAAATTCCTTGTGTGTGTGTGTGTGTAAGCACACTTGGCAATACAGCTCTTTCTGATTCTGATTCTGAAATCGAGTTGAATGCCACACAACCCTTTTGTCTTGTTGTGTAGAAATAAAATGTTTATTTATTTATTAAAATTAAAGTGGGGTTTGAGCAAAAACATTAATAATTACATAGGTTTTGAAATGTAGCTTTATGCTAATTGTACCTCTAAAGGCTGTAATTATATTTCCAGATGTATTCGTATAAGCATTACGGATAGTTTATGTTTCTGATGAAGAACCAAAAGTTGTTTATCTTAACGTAATGCTGTGTATTGAGCAACGGACGATGTAAAAGCCGTATACGAGATACATAGGCTAAATGAATAAAAAATGCATAATAGTACATAATAATACATATTAGCAGAAGGTGATCAATCGTTTCGCACTTGGTGTGAAAGCAACGTACATTGGCAATTCGCCTCACTTGTTCGCATCGCATTCAGTGTTAAACGGCCTTAAGAGCTAAATTACAATAAAAATATGTACGTTTTCCACTTGCTTGTGAAACTTGATTGCACCAAAAAAAAAAATAAGTTACCGGATTGCAGGTGAGAACCAACCATGGTGATCAAACAGGTTTGCGCCAGTAGAGGCAGAATAATCATATTCAATTGTTTTATTAGCTCATAAAATATGTTTGTAAAGCTGCTCTCAAGGTTTTAAGAATGGGATGTTTCCCGACTGTTATCAAAGTCCATTTCTCACTTCCTTATATTACAACCAGGATCTGGGATCTGCCAGGTTTTGACTGCGTTCACCTATGGCATCACAAAACAAACTTTCACTCAAGCTCAAAACTTGACTCAAGGTCAGAAAAGAGAATTTCTGCCCGTAAGGCAATTTGTAGTGAATCAGGATGTTTGAGGCAATGTCTGAGCATCCAGGACGCTACACTGAACTTGGCTAGAGGGGAAATGAGTATAACTCTTTCATCACACTGAAGGGAAGAAAACCCAGTGACGAAATACTTATACAGAGGCAGTTTTTTCCTAAGTTTGGTTAAGAACTTGGAGCACCATATGTAATCACAAGGGGGTGGTTGCCGTAACAAGTTCATAGAGGAGTTGAAGGTGCTTCACGCACAGTATCGGCCTGAGAACACTGGTGCAATGTATAGAGAGACTGAAGATAAATAGCGTGCAGTCATTAATTATTTAAACCAATAATTATTTAAAAGTGCAAGTGTGTGCAAGTGTGTGCAAGTGTGTTTTCCTTTACAATGACATGTTTGTATAATTTACATGTTTTAATGTGTTTTTCAACCATTAAGCCTCGTTGTTTCTGTTTTAAGAAACACAATAAAGAAATTAATTGCTACTAATCTGGGCTGCATTTCCCAAAGCATTGCAATCCTAAATTGATCATAGCTCTATTGGTGACAATTGGTACTAAAATCAGTTTAGGTTTACGATGCTTTTGGGAAACGCAGCCCTGGTTTGTATAAACGGGACATGTTGCACTTTTTTCTTTTCTTTTTTACTGCTTACACACATTTTCAAACCTTTGCCTCTTTTTTTTCAAAACTTTACACACAAATCCATGAATTGCACACACAAAATGCAAAATGCCTCACATCTCTTGTAAAATGAAGCACTGCATTCAAAACATCACAAACACATCTCAAAAGCATTTGCAAACACCTTTGCCATAATATTAATTCCTGTTAGATGTGTGTGTGTTACATAGAGAATTGTGTGTTGTGTTTTACAAAAAGTGTTTTATGAAACTGAGTCAAAGGCCGAGAATTAGTGTATGGTTTTGCAGATTTGGTGTGTGCATCTGCTGTTTGAGTGTCAGCTTTCAGAAACTGTGCGAAAAGTAAAGATTTTGTGTGTAAGCAGTTGAAATAAAACTGGAATCATTCTTTGCACCACCTGCTGGTGACTTGTTCCGACACAGCATCTTCCTTCTCCCTAAAATGAAAGTGTTTCTGTAATGCCATGTGCGGCAGTTGCTACAGGTAAAAAAAACTATGTATGACCATATTTAGAGATTTAGAGATAAAACCTTTAGATTTGGACATTCAGGAAGGATCTGTAATGTTCTAGTGATTCTAATTCATCAGCATGTTTTAAAGTTGTTCCTTTTTATTTAATTATCAAATTGCTATTAATTAGTCAAAAATTATCAAATGCACAATCAAGCAATTATTTTCTTGGTTAATTTGGAACATACACATAGGTTTGAAAACATTATATGGACTGATGTAAGGTTTCTCACAGTTTAACTTCTGTTTTATGCCTTTAGTCTAATGACAACACTGTGAAGATGGCCTTGTTACCATTATCTGCAGAAGGTGAAGTTTCATAACCACATATTAAATATAAGGTGCATGCATCACATCAGAGTGTGTTCTTGAGAGTGTGAAAACCACAGTGCTGGTTTCATCCTGATCATTTGTAGTGCTATCACTGGTCATGAGCGTTGGTGAAACAGGTAAGAGCTCCTTTTTTTATCTTTCTTCAGATTCATTATCATCACATATATGTTGTGTGTTTGTGGTATAGAGGAGATAACTCACTCTAAGGTTTAATGTCAAAAGGCCAAGTGGTTTGGTATTACAAACACCTACAGTAGTTCAGAACTTTCTTAAATTTTGTTGTTGTTGTTTGTTTGTTTGTTTTTTTGTAAACTCTGACATCAAAGTAAAAAGTACATTATCGGTGTGTATTGTAATTTCTGTTGGACTTCATATGAACACAGGAGAACTACAGTGACTTCCATTAAGACATTAGTTAAGCATGTAATAAATGTAGATCTAAACTGAAAGCTTGAACTGTGTTTTTAGGATAGTGAGATGTCTTAATATGTTTTTAATGAACTGTCTTTAACAGTGAAAATATTTATTTAAAAAAATAAAGTTATGGAGTTTGGTGTTATGGTGTATGGAGTGTGTATGGAGTGTGAACAGATGCGGGAAAATGTAACTAAAAGCATAATGTGTGTGTGTGTGTGTGTGTGTGTGTGTGTATATATATATATATATATATGAGGGGCCGTACAAGCCATAATTCATTCTGGCATTCACCCCCGCAGTGCGTGCCCGTCTGCTATGCCACTGTGTGGAAATAGTTGTATGAAATGTTGGCACTTTATCTATTGTAAAAAATGGTTAGAATTTACCATGTTTTCCTGCCAGTTGGCATTGAGAGTGACTGACACTTGATGATCAGAAAAAAATCACTAAATAGATGTGTAAAAAAAATAAATAAAAATAAAATTAAAAAATTGAAAAAAATCCCTACTTTCTCTCTTTTCTATGTGCGTTCATAAATTGTATTAATTTGTAAGTGTCATATTTGGCAGTTGGCATATCACTAATAACAGTGGCATATGAGAAGTTTATACCACAGAAAAAAAAAATCTAAAGGTGGCTGGATTTGTATGCTGAAGCTTATAGGCGTTCATTATTTTCACTCAATTTAAATAGTTTTTTAGCACCCCTTCTGAACTGTTAATTAAAATAACCAAATTTTATTAGCAATGCGTTACTCCCAACACTGCTCACACATACATACATTCTTCTCTTATGAGTAGAAATGTATGCATGTGTAAGGAGAATGTAAGTGTGCGA